CCTCCCTCCCCTCCGCACTCCCATCCCCGCTCTCGGCTCCCGGCCAGGGGTCCCCACTGGTGAGAGCCCAGGCTCTCCCACGCCTCTCAGTTTGGGCTTGAAGTTCCTGGTGGTTCACGTGAGGGCCTGTGCTGGTGGGACCAGGAGGGAGGCCCCATCCCCCGTGTGCGGGTGCAGAGGCCCGTGCTGTCCGTCTGTCTGTCCCAGGCGGGAGCAGGCGGGAGCCCTAGGCCAAGGTGGCTGCCCTTTCTAGCCTCACCTTGGCCGGGGCAGGACTGACTTTCTGTGGGGGGTGGGGCCAGCCAGGCCCAGGCTGAGAACAGCCCTGCCCATCGGGGACCGTTTGTACGATTGGTGGGCAGGTGCCACCTTGCATCTCGTCAGCCGTTATGGAGCCCCTTGGGCTCCCTCACACCAGCCGTGGCCATCGGGCCCGAGTGACGGCTGTGGGGGAGCTGTGCTGTGGCCTGTGACCCTCGGCCCCTCCCCTGTCTCCCCAGAACTCGTCGGCGCCTCTGGCTGAGGACATGGACCCCGAGGTGAGTGTCCTGTGCGCGGGGCTCCCCTCCTGCGCCCTGGCCCTCGGATGACCTCCCGTTGCCCGCAGCTCGCCCGGTACCTCAACCGGAACTACTGGGAGAAGAAGCAGGAGGAGGCTCGGAAGAGCCCCACGCCCTCCGCCCCCGCGCCCCTGGCGGAGCCGGCCGCCCAGCCCGTGGAGACGCACGCAGCCCCTGCGGCCGCGGTGGAGGTGAGGCCGCTCTCGGTGCCCCCTGGGAGGCCCCGGGGACTGGCCGGCCACTCACTCTCTGTGTCTTCCAGACTTCCCTCCCCGAGACGGACCCTCAGCCCATAACCTCCTCCGGGGGCCTCTTCAGCGAGGTAAGCGCCCTCCTCGGGCCACGGACACAGCCTCTGGGTGCAGAGCGCAGGCCCCGCCGCCCACAGCGACCGGAGGTGGCTGGGCCTGGCTGCCTACCGAGCGGACCAGCGCCCAGAGCCACCCCGCTGTCCGTCCTGGGGCGCCGGGCCTTGTTGCCACTGGAGTAGATGCCAGGCCTTTGCAGGGGAGGCCGGTCCGTGTCACCTATGGGGGGGCGGTGCTTGTGGGCGGCCCCGGTGGCTGCAGCCGGCTCTGTCCTCACTGAAGGACTGGAGCCTGAGGTGCTGGCCTCGGTCCGGGTCCGGGGCTGGTGCAGGCGCGGCTGCTGAGGCCCCGGGCAGAGGCCCTGCCCACGGAGGCAGATCCTGACTCGGGAGCCGGGGGACCCCACAGCGTGCCCGTCCCCAGCAGCAGTTCCAGAACGGGGAGTCGGAGGAGAGCCACGCGCAGTTCCTGAAGGCCCTGCAGAACGCCGTCAGCACCTTCGTCAACCGCATGAAGAGCAACCACGCACGGGGCCGCAGCATCACCAACGACTCGGCCGTGCTGTCCCTCTTCCAGTCCATCAACAGCATGCACCCCCAGCTGCTGGAGCTGCTCAACCAGCTGGACGAGCGCCGGCGTGCGTCCCTCGGGCCCCGGCTGCTGGGCTGTGGGCGGGGCAGGCTCCTGGGGCTCCAGCGGGGGCGGGGGGGGGGGTCCCAAAGACGGGAAATAGCCCACCAAGCATGGGACCGGCAGCTGAAGGAGGCGCCCCCCAGCCACGGCCCTCTGCCCCCTGCAGTGTACTACGAGGGGCTGCAGGACAAGCTGGCGCAGATCCGAGACGCCCGGGGGGCGCTGAGCGCCTTGCGGGAGGAGCACCGGGAGAAGCTGCGCAGGGCGGCCGAGGAGGCGGAGCGCCAGCGCCAGATCCAGCTGGCCCAGAAGCTGGAGATCATGCGGCAGAAGAAGCAGGTGCGCTGGGCGGCCGGGCGGCTGGGCGGCGGGCACCGGCACAGCCGGTGCTGACGGCTACCTGTGCCCGCAGGAGTACCTGGAGGTGCAGAGGCAGCTGGCCATCCAGCGCCTGCAGGAGCAGGAGAAGGAGCGGCAGCTGCGCCTGGAGCAGCAGAAGCAGACCATCCAGATGCGCGCCCAGATGCCCGCCTTCTCCCTGCCCTACGCCCAGGCAGGCGCCCGCCCCTCCCACTCCCGCTGCCCTGCAGCCGCAGGGAGCCCCCTGACAGCCGTCTTTCTCCCCAGCTCCAGGCCATGCCCGCGGCGGGCGGCGTGCTGTACCAGCCCTCTGGCCCCACAAGCTTCCCAGGGACCTACAGCCCGGCAGGCTCGGTGGAGGGCTCCCCCATGCACACCGTGTACATGAGCCAGCCGGCCGCGGCCGCCGGCAGCCCCTACCCCAGCGTGCCCGGGGCCGGAGCAGGTAACCCGGTGGGCGGACGCGTCGACCAGCCAACATGAGCCCCAGACCGTTACTTTATTTGTTTCATTTTTACGTTGGCTTGTTTTATAGAAGAGCTAAGAGAACGAATGGTGTAAAGAATTTCCGAGATTCCCGAAATGTTAACATTCTTCCACATTTGTTCTAACGTGCGTTCACTCCGACACCTTCTGGCTGGAGGCTCTGGCTTCCTCCCCTTTCATTCCCCACCCCGTCCCGTGTGGACTGACTTGGGTCCCGGGATTCGGAAAGGAGTTTCAGGATCCAGCCCAGGCCTGACAGGTGCTCGCTGTCCCGATCCCGGTTCTGGGTTCAGGAGGTGGGGGCGACGCCGCCCGCCCTGCAGTGTCCTGACTCGGCTGGAATACAGTTGGGTTCATTCGACTTCACTCATCGCTGGGGGTCCCCTCCCATCTGTGTTGATGTCCTTATTTCCCTTGGGTGAGAAGGTGAAACATGAACTTGGTTCCAAGTCTCACAACAAAAAAGGAAAACTCAGAGAAATGCTCCCCAACTCCGGGGTCTCCCCCTCCTCTTCCTCCAGATCCCAGCGTGGTGAGCACCTACATGTACCCAGCAGGGGTCCCTGGCGCACAGACAGCCCCCCAGGGCCCAGCCGGACCCGCCGCCAGCCCAGCCTACTCCTCCTACCAGCCCACCCCCACCCAGGGCTATCAGGTAGGGTGAGGCTGCGCCCCTCCCCCAGAGGCCCCTGTGAGGCGCCCCGCCCAGCCCTTCTCCCAGCTCCTCACACTCCTCACAGGCCTTCCCTCCACAGACGGTGCCCTCCCAGCCCCCGCAGCCCGCCGGCGTGGGCTACATGGGGAGCCAGGCGGTGTCCATGGGCTACCAGCCCTACAGCATGCAGGTGAGACCACGCGGGGCATCGACAGGCCGGTCCTTCTGACCCCCCCTCCCCCCGACTGGGCTCCCCAGCTGGTCCTCCAAGTCAGGTTACAGGGCTGCTTTCTCAATGTCGGGGTTCCTTTCATTCTCCACAGAATCTCATGACCGCCCTCCCCAGCCAGGACGCATCTCTGCAGCCCCCGCCGCAGCCCTACATCTCGGGGCAGCAGCCCATGTACCAGCAGGTGAGCCCCTCCCAGGCCACCACCCGGGCCCCGGCCCTCTGCAGGGGACCGTCCTGGGAAGATAGGCAGTCCAGCGGGAAGGCCACTCGGCCCGCAGACCCTGGGTGCACGCAGCGTCCGGGGGGAGCAAACCACGTTGACTTCAAGCTCAGCTCCGTAGGCGCTGTAGGGATTCCGGGGGTGGGCCCTGCTGGGGTGTGAAGCTCAGAGCCCATGACAAGGGGGGGGCGCACCCTGGGCTGGAGGAGACCCGGGACAAGGCTGGGGTGGGGTGTTCTAGAGCAGCCAGTAGAGGGGGACCTGGGCCTGGGGAGGAGCACCAATGGCCTCTCGTCCCCCAGATGGCACCTGCTGGCGGCCCTCCCCAGCAGCCTCCGCCCGTGGCCCAGCAGCCGCCTGCACAGGGGCTGCAGGTGCAGGGCAGTGAAGCCCAGCTCATCTCCTTCGACTGACCAGGCCAGCGCGCTGCCCAGAGTAACACTACGTTCCCCGAGACCACCGCCTCCATCTGACTAGCGTCCTGTCCCCTCCTCTGCTCTCCTTGCTCTCCCCGCCTCCATGTAGTGCCCCTGCCCCCAGCCCGCCTTTCTGTCCTCACCTGTGCTCACCCCTCGGGCTCCACCTCCTGTCCCTGAGTTGGCCTCCGACCTCCTTCCCCACGGCCGGGCCTGGGGTGGGGGGTGGGGGTGAGCCCCAGCCTGGATGTCAGGTCCCTTTGCCCCCCACTCCCGCAGGGGCCTATGGATGACTAGCGTGTGCCCCCCAGAGCCCTCTAGGGCCCCCCCCCCAGCTGTCAGCAGGGGCTCCTGGCCCCCACAGGAAGGGGGGCTAGTCTCCAGCTTCTCTGCTTCTGAGCTGTCATGTCACCCAGTGCCCCCAGTTAGACAGAATGGATCGGCCATAATAAAGTCTCTTCAACAAGTACCACACGTCTGCTCAGGGGAAAGGTGCTGGGCAGCTGGGCAGGAGTGTGTGGGCATCCCCGCAGGCCAGCCTGGCCCCGAGTCCTGGGACGGGCTCGCAGGGCCCGCGGCTCTGGTCCCACTGCAAGGCCAGTAGCTGTAGTTGGAGGAAAATGTTCAATGTGAGAGTCGGCCGCTTGCATCCAGAACTCAACGCCTGAGCCACCCAGACCTCCTAGGTGACGGCGGCCGTGGCTCCTCCATGCGGGGCCGGACTAGTGAACAGGCCCAGAGGCTCTCGGAGCGCAGGCCAAAGGCAGGGCCAGGACTTGGAGGTGCGGGGCGGGGGTCAGCGCCTTGTCGTTTGACATAAAGTCCGCTCAGCGCTGGCTCCAGGCATCACCGTGGCGGCGGGAGAGGAACCCGCCAGTGCCTCTGGCTGCATCTAAAGAGCAAAGCCCAGGCCCTCGGGGCAGGCCCCGCAGCCGGTGTTGGGAGCTGGGCCAGGAGGCGGGCAGGGCGCGCGGGGTCCGGGGTCTGGAGACAGAACCAGGGCTTATGCATCCTCTTCTCCCGGGACCCGCTAGCCCGCCGCCCCGGTTCCCTCTCGGGCTATCACAGCCCCGGCACACGCTGCCCGGGACGCGCGCTCGGTCCCGCGGAGGGAGGCGTCCTCGCTCCCGGGGCGGCTGCACCGAAGGACAAAACATGCTCCTTCCCTCCCGGGCCGGCGGGAGAGGCAGCCGTGCCGGCCAGAGCGCAGCGAGCACTCCGCGCATGGTGACCGCGGATGCCGAGCCAACGGCACGAGCCGAAAGCCGCGGTCGGCTGACGCGAGGCTCCCGCAGGGGCCACTGCGCTGCTCTACACGGGCCGGGCCCGCCCCCGATTCAGACGGAACCCGCGCTCAGCCTCGGCCTCCACTGGCCTCCCTTGGCCCGGTCCCTTGTGGGTAATCTCGGCGAGCGAGAGGAAGCCAGCGCGAGGTGCGGCTAGAGCGTCCGTCCCAACTCGTATGCTCGGCGGCCTTGGCAGCTAGAGCGTCCTCCCCAACTCGTATGCTTGGCGGCCCGGACAGCTAGAGCGTCCCTCTCAGCTCATATGCTCGGCGGCCCTGGCGGCTAGAGCGTCCTCCCCAGCGCGTATGCTCGGCGGCCCTGGCGGCTAGAGCGTCCTCCCCAGCGCGTGTACTCGGCTGCTCTGGCAGCTAGAGCGTCCCTCCTCCAGGGAGCCTCGTGTGACCTTCCCGCCGGTGGAGCGATGCTGCCGGCGGCTGCTCGCCCCCTATGGGGGCCGTGTCTAGGGCTTAGGGGCACCGCGCTCCGCTTCGCCAGGTACCGCGGGCTGCCGAGGGCCGGGCGGGCAGAGGGTAGTCCTCAGCCGGCCACCGATGGTTCAGGTCGGGGCAGCGGGCGGGAGGCCACCCACGTCCGGCGGTTCCCAAAGGGGAAGCGGGACGTGGAGAGACCCCCCGCCCCCCGTGTGGGCCGCGGAAAGTGCCGGGGTGGCCTCAGATCACGAGACGGGTTCCCGCCATTGCCCGGGCCTCAGTTTCCCCCGCAGCCCAGTGGCGTGTAGGCCCCCCACCAGTGCATCCGGCGCTCCGGGTTCTGAAAGGCTTTGTGCAGCAAAGCGCATTTACGTGATTGCATTACCCCGTGAGCTGTTACGGTTCATTCAAACCAGGAAGTTGTTAAGGGCAACATCCTGCAATAATAATAATAATTAATCATAATAATAAATAACGTGGGTTTCTAAGGCTTGTGAAGAGTATAAAATATAAAGTAGCGGGGAAACCCCCTTGCTCTCGACGTGGAGCCTGGAGGCTGAGAACCCTGGGTTGGTACCAAGGGGCTAGACCTGAGCTCGTGGCACCCACCTGCCTGGACTGCCCGTCACCCGCCTGTGCTGGGCTGACCGCTCTGTTTGCATGGGGTCTAGGCAACAGGTGCCGCGCGTCAGCGCCGTGCGGCTGATGCGATGCAGCAGCCATCGGAGGGGAGAGGCCCTCGCCGGTGCACCCCTAGATAACGCCCCCAAGGAGTACCCCCCCAAGATCCAGCAGCTGGTCCAGGACATTGCCAGCCTCACGCTCCTGGAGATCTCAGACCTCAATGAGCTCCTGAAGGTATCGCGGGCCGGGCCTGGGCAGTGGGGTCCGGGGCTGTGTCCTGCTCCTGGTGTATTTGGGGGGAGGGTTTGGTCAGTTGTGGAAAGTGTGCTCCCCGGGTGCAGGGATGTGCCGGGCTCGTCCCTGCGCGTGTGTGGGTGTGACCGCCAGCTTCTGAGACTGTCTCCTCTGTCCCTGCAGAAAACGCTCAAGATCCAGGAGGTGGGGCTCATGCCCATGGGGGGCGCGATGCCCGCTGCTGCCCCTGCCGCCGCAGCCCCCGAGGTGAGCCAGGCGCTGGCCTCCGCAGAGACCCGTTTCTCTGGTGCCAGGTCCCAGCTTCCCTCGCGTCCTGAATTCTCTCTTTGCCCCTCATCTCTGTCCCGCGCCAGTCAACACAGCCCGCACATCTGTGTGCTTCCAGCTGAGGCTCTGGTCAGCCTCCCTGGGGCCGAGGACGGGCAGGGCCCTGCCCACTGGGGACCTGTGTCCAGTGGGGACTGTGTTTCCAGGGGAGGGAAACAATGAGCCGATGGAAGGGAAAGGACAGGAAGAGGTTGTGTTGAATAGCAGGACTTGCTAAGTTCTGCAGGAGGGGGTGGGGGGGGGGAAGAAGCTTGGGGGAGGGGAGGGTGACAGGTCAAAGGAAGGCCCTGAGGAGAGGAGACTGAGGAGTTGAGGGAGATGGCAAGGCATTCCCGGGCACGCGGGCCATGAGCTTGTCCAGGGCTTAATTTGCGGGGTTTTGTTGTTGCTTTTGTGTACGTGTGTGTGGTTTTCAATATTTGTTATTTTTTAAAATCTCCAATTACCCACAAGTAGAAATAATCACATCCTCACCAGCCTTAGAAATAACTCAGGTTTTGCCACATGTGTGTCTCCTTCCCTGAAGCTGAAGGCAGGCTTCCGGCCTGTCCTCTCTCCGAGGGCCCTGCACACCCCTCTCTGACAGCACAGGTAGCCTGGCGCCATTTGCACAGCAGAGGGCATTGGCCTTGACTCCGACCCCAACTCTTCCCACCTCAGGAGCTCCGCCACCCCCTCCGGCCGCCTGGCGAAGGCGGGGGCTGAGCTGGTGTCATTGGTGCTGGGACACGGCTCTGGCTTGGCCGGGGCTCGGACGGCGCTGCTTCTCTATCCTGTCATTTCACCCACAAAGCACTTCTGGGGTTGCTCTTCCCTGTCTCACAAGTTACAGTTTTAAAAGGATGAGTTTTGGGGGCCGGGAGGGAGGCAGACATCACAGCCTCTGGAGAGCTGGGAAGGGTTCTGGGTGGTGGAACCCAGTCTGAGCGAGGAGTGGACGAGGTGGGGGAGGCGGCCGGTCGGGCGTCTCTCCTGCCAGAATCGCGGGGACTCCGCAGCTCAGGAGCAAAGGTGCTGCTTCCCTCGT